ACACTTCGGTCTGGGCCGCCCCAGTGGATAGTTTCGTGGGGATACATTGGGATATGCATCGCCTGACTCGAGCATGGTAAAATTCGGTCACTCATCGTATCCAGGAATAGGGTGGCAACAGGGACGGTGAGGGAGTTTCGTAGCGGTTTGGTAGATTGATTAAGCATTTGACAGTCTTCTGGGACACCGAACATAACTCCCAACGGGAGCTGAGTCCGTCCTTCCATCAGACGGGGTGGATGCGGCTGAGAAAATAGTTTCCGGGGTGTCTGACCAAAGTTATGAATGATACCAACTGTTGCTTCTCGTTGTAGTGGATCTTCAATGGCATCCAAATCGATGGCTCCCTCGTAGCTAAGTGGGTGGAACACATTCAAGGAGTCGGGATCTTTTTGCTTGGATCCCCAGATCAAGTCGATCCATGCCGGTAAGTTGCGGCTGACATAATCACTCTCCAGTGCTTGACGATGTAACGAGATGAAGAGGAGGGGATCATTCTTGGCCCAAGGTGGGAGTTTGACATCATTGATTTTTTCACCGGTAGCCGACTGCTTTCCAAAATCCAGTCCGGCAGCATTCCACAAGAATTCTGGTAGAGTGAAAAACTCCGGGATCAATTCTCGAACATCGCCACGACTATCTTGTGACGCCGAGTCCCAAGCTCGCTTGATATCTGTAAAGAGCCGATCGGGTAGATCCCAGTCTCCTCCTTGTAAGGTCTTGAACATATGCGTGAAAGGCGAAAGCCTGATGAGGAAGTGGCAGACGATCATAGAACTGGAGAAATGTGTTCCATAATGGAAGGGCACTTCTTCAACGGACTGCAGATTGGAGTACCGTGTGCGTGCGGCATCCTCGCGAGGAGGGCTCAGGGCTCCCATTGGCTTTGACAGGTTTCGGTAGATGTCTGGGTTATTTAGATCGAGCTCTTCTGACGTGTAGTCTTGTAGTACCCAAGGGAATACGGGATACTGCGTTACATCGCAACGAGTACGACCCGATGCTTGATTGAGGATGCTGAGGTAAGCAAAATTGCTGAGTTCACGAGTTTGCCATCGTCGTTGGGCCGTGGCAACTTCATCACGAGCACCAGTAAAGACTTTGGCTGTGACTCGAGTGA